CGCCCGCTCTGGGCACGTACATCTCCGGGCAGGGGAGATAAAGACAAACCCCCGTTCGACGGGTCCACGGGAGGCACTCTACGGGCTCATCCCGGGCTCTCACTAGGAGAGACACACTTATGATTGGGTGTACGGAACTGAATGCCACATGCCACACGCCAGCCTAAGAAACCAAATCGTGAAAAGTCCAGGAGAACCCTATGGAGCCTGGAGGTCTTCAAAAGGAGAAAGGGCCAAAAGCTCAAGACCGAAAGCGACGAGCAGGTCGAGATGACGTCGTACGCTCATGTCTGCCAAGTTCATTAGCACTTGACTAGAAATTGGAGTCAAAGCTTGTTCAAAAGTTCAAACAGCAGGTACGTGCAGCTGATCAGGCTGCATATCCTGAGGTCACCATAGAGAGCTTCGTTGGGCACAGCTCTATGGGCCTCCTGTGCCCCCCTGCTCATGGTAAAAGAAAACAATTCAAAAGAATCCCTGTGACTACAAGGGGCACACACACAGGCCGGCCACCATGTTAAAAATAACTTGGGACAGAATCATAATTAGTAGCTCAACGGCCGATTTTCCTTCTAGAAAGTGTTTAAACAATGGACCGTTGTACCTGGGAACTGCCGTGGTTGCCAGTGCCAGAGTGCCAGGTTTTGTGACTCTTCTGGGCGTTTGGAGCTAGAACTGGAGAACTATTGCATGAAGAGGGACGCATAAGGAGACAATCCTTCCCCGTGTTCTATCCAACCAACTCCTCATGGTTCCTCATTGTGTCAATCCTTTTTGTCCTTACCCGTGAACTGTGACCAGGTATGTTTCAACATCTTTGCTTAGTTCATCTTGGCACACCCTGCTGCATGCGGTTCTCTTTCTCCCTCACCTTCCATTTGATCCGGTGTGTTCACTCCCTTTTCCCATCACTGGGCACGTCTCAGAGCGACCTGGGCTGCTGAAGGTGACTGAGAAGGTGTTGCTGAAGCCTTCCTTGTTGGACTCTTTGCGGCCGAACTTGCACCGCTCCCACACGGCCGATCACCAGAGCGGCTGGGGCGAATCCGGTGAAAGGGGTGGGTTCATGGGTTCATGTCTATAGACATATTAAAAGAAGGGGGTTGAGAGTGAATGGCATGGATAGCCGTGATGGGGAAAAGTCAGAA